AAAAATGCTTCGTTTTTAAAAGGACTGAAAAAAAAGCTCAAAGTCTGCTTTTATTTCCCAATTTGCTAAGTCCCACAAAGTCGTCTTGCCAGCTGTAATGTCAATTTCACTTGTTCTTTAAGCAACAATTGATAATTTAGACAGATATCTTACCTTTACGCCCATGGCGTACCACGCATTTAACAAGACCTATAGCTCTGCGTCGTTCTTGCCCAGACCGCCAAACACGCTGGTGGGAACGCGGTTTTAAAAAGGAAATATATGAAAGAATGTACAACCCAACCCTCAACAGGAAAGGGGGACTGCAGGTAGATCTCTCAGGTACTTGATTTTTGGCGCTCCCAGCCCCAAGGACAGACAATACTTAAGCTCCTGTTCTGCACAATAGGAGCTTTTTTACTACTAGCAATAATCTAGTGTTGACTTGTCTAACTTTGTTTCTTTTTGGACTTCACAAATTGTCTTCACTTATTTATATATCAATCATTGGTTTGTGCTTATAAACCTGTATTTCTCCTCTTGTCTCTCAGTCACTGACAAAAGCTAGTGGATGGTAGCTGAAACGTCTGCCCGTTTCCAAATCAGATCCAGTTGCTTGAGTAACTGTTTTTTGGTGTATTACGTTAATCATTGTAATGGCTTCTGCTCTACACAATTGCCTGTTTATTCTTGTCAAAATTTGTTTAAATGAGACAGAGCGCCCTGAGGTGAACTGTGAAGGCGAGACAGTGGAGATTGTGTGCCTTTTGTGTCCAGAGATAAGAGGTTCTCCTTTTATTGGACTTAAATAAGTTAGAGGAAGATAACATTGTATCCCACGACCGGCAACTGGTAAAGTATTTACCTTCATGACATTCCGGCGCAAGATAAAAGTCTTTGCAAACCGCTTTATTGATTTTTTTGTGATTAATTGTGCTGTCAAACCTGTTTTCGCCATCCCAATCTTTCATCTATCCGACCAGTATACTCGTACGTATCAAAATATTTGCAAGAATTGTCACTTAGGGCACATCGATTTAACCTGACTCTCTGTAACAATCTCTGCAAACGAGAATGCTCAAATTCATATAAGATTCTCAAATCTCCAAGGAGAACGATTAGCGCGGGGAAGGTGGGTTGGTGAAAGAAAAGAGAAAAAAAAAACATGCGGGTTTTTTTCTGATCTACTTGGAGCCATTATTGCCCGGTTTTCTGTAGCTCATGATCAGAATCTTATTCCATAATTTGATTTCAAGTAGACCAAAAAACAAGCAAATAACTTTTTAATACTGAAAAAAATTCGTTAAGTGAAATTGGATTAGGATCTTTTGGCTCATACTTCGAACTGCAGGCATGTATTTTTTCTATTCCAACATTTATTACAAGACAAGGTGACAGCAAACTCAAGTTTTTTCAAGTTATTTTTATGCCGCCACCAACGCAGAGGAAAAACGCATGGACGGACAATAGACATACTCATTTTCACCTGAATAAAGTTTGAGGAAAGTCGTGTATAGTGCATTTTCCAAGGCCCAGTGGCATGGCAGGATTTAGGTCTAAAGATCCCTTGGTTCCGATCCGAACGCTTTGTCGCACACGACTCCACCATACCCATGTATTTTCTGGATACATGGTAGTGTTTTTGACACAGAATGGAACTTGTATGATTTTGGTACAGAACCTTTACCTATATGACAACAGTAGTCATCATTTTCCAACAAATGACTTATTTTAGTCATTTTGAACAAAATGGCAACAAAAGAGGAACACAACGAATAGAATATATATTCGCCAGCCTAGTGTAGGAAGTGAAATTTAAGAAATTAAGAAAAACCATATAATTATAAACATGGGGGCACACTTGACATTTCAGCATGAAAATGCGGTCTTAACCCTGAAAGCCTGTGTTCTGATGCCGTATGATATTCTGCAATTCACTGTAGTAAAAAATGTTTCGTTGTGAAAATGACTGAAGACAAAGCTTAAAGTCTGCTTTTATTTCCCAATTTGATAAGTCCCGCAAAGTCGTCTTGTCAGCTGTAATGTCAATTTCACTTGTTCTTTAAGCAACAATTGATAATTTAGACAGATATCTTACCTTTACGCCCATGGTGTACCACGCATGTAACAAGACCTATAGCTCTGGGTCGTTCTTGCCCAGACCGCGAAACACGCTGGTGGGAACGGGGTGTTAAAAAGGCAATACACAAAAGAATGTATGCACGTACAACCCCACCCTTAACAGGGAAGGGGGACTGCGGGTAGATCTCTTAGGTACTTGTTTTTGGCGCTCCCAGCCTCAAGGAAAGACAATATTTAAGCTTCTGTTCTTCATATTAGGAACTTTTTTACTAATTCGCATAATCGCGTGTTGACTTGTCTAACTTTGTTTCTTTTTGGACTTCACGAATTGTCTTCCCTTTTTTTAACTTTTTTAATCATATAAACCTTTATGTCCTACCTGGGCCGCGATAACGTTCGATACGGGTGTTCCGGCCCGCGTGATAACTAGCGGTACAGCCCGGGGGTTCTTTACGCGTACGGCCCGGGGCTTCCAAATGTTCCGTGTAACGATTCGAACGCGTTTCGGCCTAACCGCGTGCACCGATTTCGAAATTCGAATACAAAATTCGGACGTTGGAATTGATGTTGTCGCATTTTTTTTTGGGTTTAGGAACACCAAATTTTCGCTCATTTCGCATTGAAAGGCGCATTTTCTTGGGTGGGTATGACATAAATAAAATACAACACGGTGTATTCCGCATCACCCTCGGTCCCAGCCCTATCGCGGATCGGATCGCCCTCCGGCCTTCGGCCGTCGGGCGATCCGACGCGCGGTCGGGCTGGAACCTCGGGCGATACGGAATACACCGTGTTGTATTCTATATGTATTTTTCCTCTTGCCTCTCAGTCACTGACAAAAGCTAGTGGATTGTAGCTGAAACGTCTGCACGTTCGTTTCCAAAATCATATCCAGTTGCTTGAGTAACTGCTTTTTGGTGTATTACGTTAATCATTGTAATGGCTTCTGTCTCTACACACAATTGCCTGTATATTCTGGTCAAAATGTGGTTAAATGAGACAAAGCGCCTTGAGGTGAACTGTGAAGGCGAGACAGTGGAGATTGTGTGCCTTTTGTGTCCAGAGATAAGTGATAAGAGGTTCTTCTTTTGTGGACTTAAACTAGTCACAGGAAGATAACATTGTATCCCACTACGGGTAACTGGTAAAGTGTTTACCTTCATGACATTCCGGTGCAAGATAAAAGTCTTTGCAAACCGCTTTATTGATTATGTTTTTTTTTGTGTGCGATTAATTGTGTTGTCAAACCTGTTTTTGCTATCCCAACTTTTCAACTATCCGACCAGTATCAAAATATAGGCACTGATCTTTTTGGTAAGACAGTATCAAATTGGCCAGTCTGTATCCATTCCCCCACCCAAGTGGGGGAATGGATACAGACTGGCCAATTTGATACTGTCTTACCCCCACCAAAAGATCTGCTTGGAGATTATACCTATATGACAACAGTGGTCATAATCTTCCAACAAATGACTAATTTGAGCCCTTTTGAACAAAATGGCAACAAAAGAGAAACACAAAGAATAGAATGTATATTCGCCAGCCTAGTGTAGAAAGTGAAATTGAAGAAATAACGATATAATTATAAACATGGAGGCATACTTGACATTTTAACATGAAAATGAGGTCTTAACCCTGGAAGCCTGTTTTCTGATGTCATGTGATATTCGGCAATCCACAGTAGTAAAAAATGCTTCAAACGACACTTCGTTGTGAAAATGACTGAAAACAGAGCTCAAAATCTGCTTTTAATTCCCCATTTGCCATTTGATATGTCCCACAAAGTCGTCTTGTCAGCTCTAATGTCAATTTCACTTGTTCTTTAAGCAACAATTGATAATTTAGACAGGTATCTTACCTTTACGCCCATGGTGTACCAGGCATGTAACAAGACCTCTAGCTCTGGGTCGTTCTAACCCACCACTGGAAATGCTGTCGCTCGGTGACCTTACTTACGATGTACCTTTGGCACCTTATCATGATTGTATGGAGGACAAATAACAAGTTGTTTTGTGACCAACACCGTTGTAGTTAGGGGTTATGCAATATTTTGTGACAGAAGACTGGAACAGGCTGGGAAATGACCCCAAAGATTTTGTTCTTGTTGATACCTTTCCCAATGCCAATAAAATTATGCGTTCAAAGCGGTGTGTGTGTCTGGAGGTGGGAGGGGGGTGCTTGTGGATTTGTGGACCGCATTTTGAATAGATTTCGATCGGGTTTTGGTAGGTAGGTAGGTGTTGGTGAATCGCAAGACTATGAGTTACCATGGTAACTAGTAATAAAAAATAAAGAGATGATAAAGCCACATAAACACCAATTTCATTTTTAATTTCATGGAGTCATATTACGTTAGTCATGTCAATGGAGGTTAGACATCCAGTATCTGAGAAACTTGGACGGATCCTCCAAAACTTCAACAGACTCTTACTTCAAACCTCACTTAACCCTTAGACATAGACTGGTACACCCTAAGGATCGACCTCACAAAGGTACCAAGGTGATTGTTATTTACAGACTCAAATGTGAGGAGCCCATTTGTAACAACACCTACATCGGAGAGACAAGTCGGCCGCTCAAAGTTAGGTACAAGGAGCATTGCAGACCGTCTAAAACGTCTACCCGTTTACAAAATCATATCCAGCTGCCGTCACTTGAGTAACTGTTTTTTGGCGTATTACGTTAGTCTTTGCAATGGCTTCTGTCTCTACATAATTGTCTGTCAAATATTTTCTGGTCCAAATTTGGTAAATGAAGACAAAGCGCCTGGAGGTGAACTGTGGCCGCCAGCCAAGAAGCACAAAGTCCACACAGTGTTGTCGTCACCGGGTCCAGAGTGGTGCGTCTGATTTACATGACCTTTAAAGCAGTGATAAAACTATTTGTATTGCGATATCGAGTCAAATCAGACGTCGAGCTAAAGGTGGACCGTCAGAAAACAATCGCACATACCGTTGTCAAGAAATTGGAACGACAGGCAGCAGCCCAAAATACCACCCATACTACAGTGCAAGTATCTACGACACAGCATAAGAAGGGTAAAGACTATCTTTCTTCTGTTAATCCTTTTTAATGTAGATCTAAGAATGCTGTACATTGAAAACAATTCCAAGGAAATAACTATTGACTTCACACATTTCCCAACGTAAAGACTTATCAACGTTAACACTCCTTTTGAGAGGTTTTAAATTCTTATGGATCGATTGGGTATTTATAAGATATAAGTAACTTCGCAATAAATTTTCAAATTCAAGCTCCTGCGAAGTCTAGTCGGTAATGTAGTCTACGTCATTTATGAATTTACGGACGGTCCTTTAAGCTCGATAGAGATGAGGCTGTACACATATAGGTGGTGTCGAATTCCCGATAGACTACACCAGCGGGTACATGGGACAATGGAGTCCTGCGCACAATAGTGTGATCATCTTACTAGTTAAAATCTTTATCTCTAATCAAAGGGAGACACATCTAATGCTAAATCATTGTATAGCCCACTTCATTTTCATCTTTGCCGGGGTTCAAAGATGTTATGTGAGCCCCGGCTACACCCCCATATAGCCCCAGATGGGGCACTTTGGGGGGGGGGCTTGGTCTAAGGCGGGCAGCCCTCCAGCCTGGCCCGGAAGGACTCAACGGTGGGAGCCATAACTACCGGGCCAGGCAAGGCGTTCCATGGGGGGGGGGCGTGTGCGAGGGAAGAAGGAATATTCGTGCATGTATAGGTTAATATTTATACTGGTGGCTCCCTCGGGTACGCCCTTGGGCTGGCTTGAGCAGGTTGCTGGTGGGGATATTAATGATGTTATGGGTTAGTTTATAAAAAGTTGTGAGGAGAGGCCACTGCAGGTCGTTGAGCATTTGTGTCACGCTGCTAGTCCGCTGGCAGTCATTCAGGGTCACTCGGGCGGCCCTGCGCTGGACGGCCTCCACCGCCTGTATCCCCTTGGTGGTGTACGGGTCCCAGACGGTGGCACTGTATTCCAAGTGGGGCCGAACCAGCGCTTTGTAACAGGTGGCCTTGACCCGAGATGGATAACAGGTCAAATTGCGCCGAATGACCCCTAGAACTTTACCAGCTTTGCTAGTGGCGTGGTTGATATGGGTGTCCCACCGCAGATCGTCGGACAATTGGAGTCCGAGATAAGGGTGGGTCTTAACTGACGTTAGGATTTCATTGCAAAGAGAATACTGCGTTCTGGAAGGATTTCTTTTACCGGAAATGTGAAGATATGGCATTTAGAGGGATTGAACGACATCTGCCAACGGTTTTGCCATTCCGTCAGCACATCAAGGTCAGACTGCAGGCCTTGGGCACTTGAAATCATATTATAAACAGAAGAAATTGCAGCCTCCAGGAAAGACAAACTGTCCGCTCATTGGAGAAAACGGAGGCAAATGATACATACATTAAATTTTGATCAAGTATTATTACTATATTTTGGGTTGATAGTATGTTCTTTATATCCAGTTGCCTTTGATTGGCTTTCATTATTTGCTTGATATTAATAGATCTGATATTTTTGTAGTTTTTTTAACCCTAACTAGACGGGGGGGGGGGGCTAAAAGTGCCCGCGGCAACTTTGATGTCACCTAGCGTCTGAACGGCTAGCCGTAAAACGGCCAAACTTGGTGACTTTTCCTAGAATATTGTTGGCAACAATTCTGTATCATTGGTATAAGATAATAATTTTTTGTGTTACCTTAGAACATGGCCACTTTTCCTCAGCCAATCAGGAGCCTGTATTTCTTGTGACTAAATCTACATAGTGCGGTCCCCAAAGGGACAGGGGTGTACTAACCAACGAATAAATTAGACTAACTCGGAGACGCCCACCATTTACATGCAAATACATTGATTAACAACACAAGAAAACAGCAGTTTGATCAATTTTCCTTTACATGTTTATTAAAAAAGGTAGACAAAAGAAACTCATGACAAGGAAAGTGAACAACGAACAGAGAATGAATAATGAGTATGGGTGAAGCAAAAAAAATCAGAAGGTTTCTTACAAATGTCAGGTATAACAAGAGTTTCTCATGAAATGAAACACAGAAGCTACAAACTTTTAGCGATACATAAAACGATGCAAATTCTTCCCAACATGTCTAACACGATTTGCACATTCTTAAACTTTGAAAACAAACCACGGTAAAACTAAAAAAAATAGAAAGGCCAATATTTGCTTTGGAGCAAATACAGCGATGGGTTCACCACATTTTACGACATGGCAGGGAAAGAATGAGAAACACAAGGGAAAACTATGATTTACATTGATATAACTATAATATGAAGTAACATACAACTAAAACAACAGTTGGATAGCTATTCCCTACTTTATTGGTTAGGTTTTTTAATTGCATAATGCAAACTGTTGATTTTCAAAAAAAAAAAAAAAAAAAAAAACGTTCATGCCCCGCATTCCAATGCTGGAGCAGAAAAGCTTGAAATACCTACCAAAACACTTGAATACAGACATACTGTCAGTATGGAAATGCTCTGTGCAGGTGTTAATCAAGTTAAATCCCAACAGCCAATCAGCAAGAAATGCTCTGTGCAGGTGGAAATGCTCTGTGCAGGTGTTAATCAAGTTAAATCCCAACAGCCAATCAGCAAGAAGTATAGAGGAAAGCTGCATGCCTATTGGTTGATGCCCTGCATTCCATTGTGATGACTCATGCCCAGACGTGGTAAACACGGCACACTAACACAGTAATACATTTGCTATAACACAGCCAAAAAACTCAAATAAGACCATTCTAAAAGACTGTATCACAAAAATTTAAAAAACGCCTAGGGGTATTTGCCCACTGTACCTCGATACCAAATTTCAGGACCTTAGGCCCTAAAATGAAGAAGCTGAATCCATTTAAAAAATGGCAGGAGAAGAAGAAGAAGGAGGAGGAGGAGAAGAAACATCAGAAAAAGCAATATGGTGGTGTGGTGAACCCATAAGAATACACCAACATGCTTAGACAGCAGGGCAGGCACTGAGCGAGGGAAGGACGGGTTAGAGCAGGAACGAGTCGGCCCGGGAACAGAACACTGAACAGGACGGCAGAGACGCCACGACCAACTTGTTTGAGATCAGGTCAGGGACTGCTGTCTCAGACAGACAACCCAGAATTTTTTAACCCAAAAACAGAAGGCATTGTGGGGCTAGCAAAGTGTTGTAAAGCATGACAAGAACCGCTATGCATATTTCACACAAGGCTGCGAGAAGTAGCTCAGCTGCAATTCATGAATGAGAACAAAAGGACGTACTACAAGCTGTTATGTTGTTGGTAAGGTTTCTAGAACAAGCCGCGATATAATTATGGAAAAACGTTTTAATTATGGACTCCCACCCTTAAATTCCAAACGCTTAACCCAACTGTCTTAATACTTTTTATGGTAACATATTAGGTGGTAATGAATATGCGGAAAGCGTTGATGAGTCCCTTGGGAATAGTCAAATTATAGATAATTATACTATAATTATGTATAATTATACATAATGATTTTGGTATTATACATAATTATACATAACCCTTTGGACCATTATACATAATTATAGATAACCCTTTGGACCATTATACATAATTATACATAACACCTTTGACCATTATACATAACCCTTTGGACCATTATACATAATTATATATAACTCTTTGGACCATTATACATAATTATTCATAACACTTTGGACCATTATACATAATTATATATAACACTTTGGACCATTATACATAATTTCACAAGCATTTCGCTAGAACCGAGTGCGCCGCTTTCGAAACTTCGAACACCGAATTCAGATGTTGGAAATAACTCTGTTACACTGTTTGGTTAGATACACCAAATTTTGGCACATTTCTCATTAAAATGTCTGTTTTCTTGGGTGGGTATCACTATGACATCAGCCTCAGACCTCCTGTGCATTGGATTGGATGCCCGATGGCTGAACCTGCGGTCAGGTTGGTAGCTTGGGCGATACGGAATACACTGTGTAGTATTCTATCTATCCGGTCTATGTCATAAAGTAGCTATACAGCCCGGGTTCCATACAGAATACAATGCTGGGCATTCCGTATTGCCCGAGGTACCAGCCTGACCGCGGGAGGGCTAGGACAGAGGGCGCTGCGGAGTACACCGTGTTGTATTTTATTTATGTCACAGTCATACCCACCCAAGAAAACGCGCCTTTCAATGCAAGATGAGCGAAAATTTGGTGTCCCTAAACCCAGAAAATGCAACATCAATTTCAACGTCTGAATTTTGTATTCAAATTTCGAAATCGGTGCACGCGGTTAGGCTGAAACGCGTTTGAATCGTTCTCTGGAACATTTGGAAGGCCCTGACCGTACACGTAAAGAACCCCCGGGCCGTACGGCTAGTTATCACACGGGCCGGAACATCCGTATCAAACATAATCGCGGCCTAGGTCGGACATAAAATTGGTTATCACACAGGCTTCAAAATGTTCTATAGAATAACTGGAAAATTCAAATACCAGATTTGCACATTGGAACTGATGTTGTTGTATTTTTTAATCTAGGTCAACACCAAATTTTGGCTCATTTCACATTGAAAGGCGTGTGTTCTCGAGTTGGTACAATGTGGTGTATCCCATATCACCCTCAGTCCCAGCCCTCAGACCTACATGTATCATGGGGAAATCTGACCTGTGGTCAGGCTGGTACAATGTACACCGGGAGATATGGAATACACTGTGTTGTATTCTATAATACAATAATTCTTTTGTAACTGTTGTATAATTTGAGAAGAAGAATGCTTGGAGTAATTTGTCCAATATCACTTCCTAACTATTTAGTTATGACCATGACTGCCATTCAATGACTACAGGTCCTGGAATTCAAGATCTGTTTACTGTCTCTCTGCAGGCTGAATGAAGTGAATTTAATTAAGTTGTCTGACCTGCAAATACTCTATCTCAGCCTTATTTGACACTAAGGGCTGATTGGTGGTCTGACTCAAATGTATATTAAAAATGATTTTTAAATAGTTAAAACTGTTTATAAAATAGATTTTGTAATCTTAAAA